CGCAACAAACTCTCGTCTATCCTCAGATTTTCTGGAGAGAGAGAGAGAGGGAGGGAGGGGGGGGGGGGGGGAGGAAGGAAGGAAGGAAGGAAGGAAGGAAGGAAAATTTCTGTAGTAACTCCTTCAGAAGGACAAAGTTTAAACATCAAGGAAGGGGATGGGCACCTGTATTGTCAAATCTACCTTTCAAGTACCCCATGTAATACTGAAGACACCCTTTTCCTATGAAAGCTGTTATTTTCACTTTCTCGTTTGGATGATCCATCTTTCCCTCAACAAGGACTTGGCTTTGATCAGCTGAAGAGGTCACACGTGCCTTCACATCCATCCAGATAGCCTCTGGTCCTTTTAACTATGCAAAGGAGACAAATCACACAAAGCAAAATATAGTAATTATGGAAAACTTTAGATAGTTAACATCTTTTGACCCTGAGCTAGATTGTTTATGCCTAGCAACAATCAGCTCCTTTGCTTGATTACCCTCCTCTTTCACCCCCTTCATATTTTCGTTCCATTTCATTTCAAGCTCCAGAATGTCTCACCACATGTCTACTTTCTCAGCAGCTTTGGGAGAAGACTAGGAACATGGCTTGGGGGTCAGCCAGTTCCCATCCTTGCTTCCAGGATAACTTTGATTTTACAAAATCATGGGAGATTCAATGATGGATCTCATGACAAACAACATACAGTGCTTTGGCTCAGAGGGACTGTGGATTCTCCTCTTTTTATGTAAGCACCTGAGTATCTCGATCATGAGGTGGCAGTGTATGCTCACTAACAAATTGAAAAGAAAAATGGCAGTGCGCAATTTAGATGACTGAGTAGGTAAGCTAAAAAGATGTATCAAGCAGCTATAGCTAAGCTCCTGTAGCTGTATCTATCTTGGGAGGGAGGCTTTTGCAGTGAAAAAAAGTTCAGAACAGGAGGCATAAACATATCTTTGCTTCTTTTCCCCAAGCGTTAAGATACCTCTTATCACAACCTCATTCTGCTATGTTCCTGCTAAATTTACCCATTATTCTATCTAATAATGTGAGCTGGTACAGACATGACTTTAAGATCAGCCACATCATCCCCCACCTTCTTTTTCCCCTAGTCTTCCTCTCTGTCCAAGAGTTCTTGAACCTCAAAAGCTAGCAGTGATGCTCTACAACATCAATTGACCTAATCAAAATAATGCTTCTGTGGGTTAATAAGGGGAAAAAAACCCATAACCTCCTCAAAAACTCTGGCTCAGCCCCTTTCTCCTCACTGACTGACCCATTGCATTTTTTATGGCTCCAAAATGTTAACTGTAGCCTCTGGCCACAAACCAAGCTAGTCACTCCAATCTTTCTTTGCAATGTACTCCTAAGAAGATCCTTGCTGGTTGAGATCAAAGTCCTTTTCCAAGCATGCAGATAGAAAGAGCCTTCTGATGAGACAAGAACAGTTTTGGAAAAGGTGACCAGATGCAAAAGAAGATAGGGCTCTTGCTCTTTTAAAAGTGGGGTTGAAATTCTATTTTCTGAATAGCTTGGAAAAAGCCTCTGTTTGCATCTTCTTAGAGGAAACCATCCTTTCCTGCAGCTTCATGGCTGCCTCCTGTCTACTCACAAAGTCATTCCATTTATTGATTGAGTCTTCTGTCTGTCTTTCAGCCAGAAAGGATCTCTTGAGTTCAGTAGTAATAAAACAGGGGATAGCCTTTCGACTTGCCCCCCCAAAAAATCTGGGACAATCCAAGAAGGGGAAATAGTTTGCTGGGTTGCTGTGAGTTCAAAGAAGGAAAAAGAAGCAGAAAGATGCAGTATTTCCCCCAATTAGTTCCCACCAGCTCACTGAAAATTCTGTTGAATAGTTCTTCATTTCCAGCTTGCTGTCATTCCGTAAAGCCACCGTAATTGCCCCTTCGTTGTGTGCAAGTCTGATTTTCCCTTCAGATCGTAAGATGGTGTCTCCCTGGTTTAGCTGGAGTTTCCCAGAAAGAGCAATTGCCTGGATGATAGAAAGCAAATATGGTCACAGATGGTCTGTGTTCAGAAAAATAATGGACTTCTGGAGGGCTCTAAGTTGGAACTCAGAACACATTCAGAAGTTATTAAAATGGTTTCTATTTGAACCCTCCCAAATCATTGCTCACGTTTGGGAGGTCACACATGCCGAATCTCATATCATAATTCAGCCAAGCTGAATAATCCGTTTCAACTTTTCCCAGAATATGCTGATGGGAACATGAGGGCAAGAGATTCTTTAAAGTAGCTTGCACCCACATCTTCTCCCGATGTAACACTTTGCTTTTCTGCATGAAAAGAAAAGGAGAAGGCAGAAATAAAATTGTGGGACATAATGAGAAGTGGAAGACAAAAAACCCCCTACAAACTGGATCTTTTTTTTCTTTTTTACTTTCCATAAGCTTTTTATACAATAATTAAAATAAAATTATTGGAACTGAGGCCCAGAGTCACATTTGAGCATAATTTACATACATTGTGAATACATTTCTTTTGTTTCACCCCATTTCTATTCCACTGTCCTTTAAAACTCAAAACATTGAACGTGAAATGTGTATATACCTTTCTTCATTGTATTTAACTACAATAATTTAGGTAATTTGAGTTGAGACTTCTCTGGAAGAATCCCAAACACACATAATGAGATCCATGTTTGAATGGGAACTTAAGCTGATTCTTTAACTGCTACCTGCATTATCTCAGAGAAATGTTAGGTAGAGAGATCATCTCTCCTGGCACATTTATGAAAACATTGTAATCCAATCTTAATTTTGCATAATAAAAAGCCCAACAACTAGGTTTCCACCGTCTTGGGTGAAGGTGTTGGCAAGTTAGAAGCTGCAGGCCCCATGATACGTGTTGATCCCCCAAATCTGCACCATGGAGCAAAACATTGCATGAAAATGCTGCGAGTTGATGAGATTCCATGAGAAGATGCTGACATCTCATGAGGGTTTACTGAATCTTGTGAGATTTTCGCAGATCTCCCTTGGGAGATCTAGCAAGATTCCATGTTCTTGAGGTGAGATTTTACAGAAATCTTGCAAATTTGAGGTGAGGCGTGGGGATTTGAGTGTGCCGTTATGTGTGTATGCATCAAGACTGTACAACAAGGCAATGTTGATTCCTGACCTCTGTTTTATATGTCAGTTTCTTTGGCAACTGTCTCAAACGGATAGTGATTCTTTTCCAAGTAATATTCTCTCAGTTTTTCTTAGCATGATTTATGAAGGTGAAAAGGATGTTGTTACAAGAATTCCAGCAACTGAATTATTTTCCACTTAGACCCAATATATCCCTGTGTATATTCAGTGAAGATTTCCTAATTGTCTTTTTGCAGATGTCTATTTACGCAACGGTGTCTTGAATCTTTATCAGACTGAGGATCAACAATCACATACTTTGTGTTCAAGGAAGTGCAAATTCCTGCCCTCTACAGGCAGGGAGACTGATGACAAAACCCACTTTCTTTTACCTCATAGATCAGATGTAGTGCAACTGTCTTGCTATCCCATGTCAGATCTAGGTGCTGATTCAACATAGCTGCTGTCTGCTTAAGAGAGCCACAGGCCTGAAGACTTGCAATTGTAAGAATCTTTTTAAGCTGCCAAAAAAGAACGTAAGATATTATTTACTTTGAGAACTGTCGTTCCAGAAGTTGGAAGCCACCCCTTGGCTCACTGGCAGTGGAGAAAAATTGAACCAATTCTCTTGGCATGGAGGAGATTCTACTCCCCAGGAGTTCTTACTCAAAAACAGATAGAAGAAAAGGGCCATTCCTGAGGTACGCTGTAAAGCGAAACTGGTTTAATTTCCTTCTCCATCCTGATGGGACTCTCTTTGAATTATTTTCTCACATTTAAAAATTTCTGTGCATTCGACTCAAAGATGTACTTAATGTCCCATCTGGTTTGGCTCCAAAAATCATTTTACTCTTCTCTACTATTTATATCTTCGGGTTTCTCTAGTGAAGCTGGATCACCCACTCACTGCCCATCTCTGAAATACGTTTTTGCTGAAAGCCAAAATTCATACCTGGCCAGAAGAAGCTGTGATACAACCATCCCAAAATGTGTCCCTGGCCTTGGACTTGTCTCCAAAAGTAAAGTTCATCTGGGTAGGCTGGCCATGGTTCCAAGCGAGCTGCATCTAAAACTCAGAAGAGACATTTCTCCTGAAAGCTCAAGGTGGCAGAGCAGGGAAGTGTATCCCCTTTTTCATCTCCAAGATTGGGCTGAAGGAGAGTGATTCTCCAAAGTCATCTGACAAACTTCACAAACTTCACAGTTGAGTGGGGACTTCAACCTTGATCTCTCTTGTCTCAACTCAGTACCTTAACCATGACATCACGCTGGCTGTTTAGCATTGTTCGTCACAGAATCTTATTTCCTGGTATTTTTTCAAGAAAGACCATCATCTCCCATCACTGCATTTCCTCCTATTATATCAGTCCTAATGTTCTGAAGCATCTTCACCGTTATTTATGGAGTATAACTCCATTCAAGGGACATAATTCTCCAGTCAAATTTAAGTGGAACAAACTTCATAATATCTCATTCCTTGGAAGTAGGAATCTTTGAATTTAATAGGATACATATATTTTTGAACAAATGATTGCACAGTACAACGCTTTGGAGATAATTCCCTTCAATTACCTGTTGTGTGTACGCTCCTTTGCGGCCTTCAGTCAGGGAACTAACCTCAATGTGTTTCATCGTGAAGTTAAAAGGGTGTGCGACAGAGGCAGAATAAGCAACCCGTGCTTTCCCCAACTTGAGAGAAGAAGATACTAAGACCTGTTGTTATCAGCAGAAAGAGATGTCACACAATGGAGCAATACAAGCTTCACTTTTGGAAAACAGGCTAGAAAATGATTTTGTGCTTTTCATGCAGGGTTGGATGGCAAAGGCTGAATTTTTACCAGAAATGTAAATGTGGGGGAACAGGGTCTCCCAGAAGGCCATGCTTTATTTGGACTAAGAAATTAGGGTTGGGAAGCTTCCACTTATTCCAGAGGGGTCAGCATCTCTTCAACAGTTTTGCAAGAATGGAGATCATCATTACAGGAACACAACCTTGTCTTTGCTAAGATAAGTGGGGTTTTTGTCCAGTCCTTCGTAAGAAGTAGAATTGTAGAGCTGGAAATAGCATTCAGACCATCAAGCCCAATTCTCTGCTCAGTGGAACCCAAATGAAAGCATTTCCAGTGAAAAGCCATCAAGCTTCCACTTGAACTTATCCAGTGAAAAGGATATAAATCTCTGAATATAGAATCATAGCATTGATAGGGATTACAAGGCTCAAGATCTGCTGTTGCATCTACAATGAGAAGTTGTCAAGTCATTGATTCTCAGGGATAATTATTGGGGACCACAGAAAGAGTGAAGCAGAAACAAGCAAGGGTTGGCTTAAAGTAAGTGGGTGTCAAGCCCTGCAAGGCTGGCAAACTCAGGAAATAAGAACCACCTGGATTTCTGGAAAGATGTTTATTGCTAGCAAGAAAAAATACAGTAACAGAATCTTGAAAGCCTGTCAAAGCAATTCTCCAGGTCATCTTATACCAAGTATAATCAAGGTGGAATTGCTCTGAGACTCTTTCTCACAATTCCCTCGTCCCCTGGACTGAGGGGTCTCTTTCACAATGGTGCTGGTTTCCTTCTCCACTTTCCAGGCTCTGCTAGACAATTGGGGACACCAGTTGTCTATCTAATGCCCCCTTTTTCTCTTCTCTGTCTTCCGTGCAAGAGACCGATCTCTTATAGTGGGCTTTGGGACTTAAAATCAACTTGAAGGTCACATGCAATCCAAAAGTTGCTGCTTTCTACCCATGCTTACCTGCTTCTTTTCATCCCATGAGATGATGATCCTGTCCTGGTGGTTGCGCAATGAGTGCTCTACATTCACATTGAGAGAGGAACATGGAGGAAAAGGGCCAGAGAAAGGATGGCAGATCTCCACTGAAAAAGAAGGGGAAGAAGTTGGATTATTTGTGAAAAGTTATTTGCTAAATCCAGTACCTTTTTTAGGCACTTCGTTTTTGGTTCTGTTATTTTGCATTTCCTGTGCGTGAGCCACATTACCTCCCTATGTTGTCCAGAGAATGCAAAGGGGAAATATTCAGAGAAATAGGTATGAGTGCATTTCTTCAAGGGCAAATACCAAGATTCCCCTGGCATTTGCCCTTATGTATACTTGTTGTTGTTGTTGAACAGCATCACAACATTCCAAGAAGTAAAACAAAAGCAGAAGGATCATTGTGTTCCAGCTCACAGAAGGGCAAATTAGGCTGCTACTGCTTGAAATGCAAACACAAAGAATTTCTTCCTCTTTGTAAGACCTGTGCTTTTCCACTGGAATGTGCATATGAGCTCATCTGAATGTATCCACAGTCAATTGTGCAGCCAATGCCTTCGATTGTGAGTGTGGCTGTTTGCACAATCCAGCCTCTTCATTCACATTCACCCACCACCTTTATCCTTTGAGTAAGCCCCCTCTTGAGTTGAGAAGATTCCAGCCTTTTGTTCTGGGCTAAACTATAGGACAACTCATAGCTATCCCCTCTAGCTGGGGCTGTTGGAAATCGGTCACATCATCATCTGGGTCCAAATACCACTTTCAGAAGGTTCATAGCTTAGTCAATCCAACCATTGCTTGCCTGAGCACTTTAGAGATTTACCATTTAAGTCATGATTTCCAGACCCCTTTGGGAAAGGACCAGTGTAGTTACTGATGACTTTAATTTCTTTGCTGCCCCATGACACTGTGCATCTCAGTTCTTGCATTCGCTGCTTGATTTTTTGGTAAACTGTTGTGGCCACAAGATGCCCTGGAAGGAACTGTATCTAAAAAGAAAAAGGAAATGGGAGATGGAAAAGAAAGATGGACCATCCTTCATTTCCCCGTGAACAGATCCTACCAAACCAGGATTTAGCTTAATAGGCAAGGCTTCATCACCTTTCCTTCTCTCTTCCTTCATGAATGGGATAAGGAATAAACTAAACTTCAGCTTTCCAGATTCCCTGCTCATTCAAACAGATTGAGATTATACATTGGTACACATTGTTCCTAAGAGTTTTTCTACATTTTTTCTAGATTTTTATCCCACCTTTTTTCATATACAACTCAAGGCAGCAAACATACCAATACTCCTTCTTCCTCCTATTTTCCCCACAACAACAACCCTGTGAGGTGAGTTGGGCTGAGAGAGAGTGACTGGCCCAAAGTCACCCAGCTGGTTTTTCATGCCTAAGGCAGGACTAGAACGCACCATCTCCTGGTTTCTAGGCCAACCCCTTAACCACTACTCCCAGCTGGCTCTCAAACATTGCTTGATGATTGATTGTGCCCGATTTTCTTGTAGAGGGAAAGTCTTTAAAATCAAAATATTAAAGAAAAAGTTGCACCCAGCTAGGATAGGTTGTTTAGATGAACTTGAGTATAGTTGGTCTCAGTAAATATTAATTTTGTTAAGATGTGAAAGTCTTTTTTTACATTTGGACAACCAATTTGGGTTTGACTTTTTGGATAGCATAATAATAATTACCTCTGCCATCATTTGTGGTGAACAAACTATCTGTCATGGATCCCTTGGTTGGAGAGAACTTGGGGATCCGTCAAGAAATTCAAAGGATCCTCTTAGGATATACTCTACTGTATACAGTGAATGGAAGCAAACAGGACTGCAAAAGAAATCTGAACTAAAGGCCTTGAGAGAACCTCTGCCTTTTGTGATCCCAAATATCTTCTCAAGAGATCCTAGCATTTCCTTCTTTCACTTTTATTTATACGTGGTACAGGATAGCATTATATAGACAGTCCACTCAAGGTCTAATGACATAAACATAATACTAGAAATAGAAATGGCATATATATCAGCGGTTACCTCTGAGGAAACATCAACCATGTTGGGGAGATACTGAAGAAGAAAGGGCAGATTCTGGAAAGATTTTACATGCATTTCTTCACTAGGGGAAAAAAGAGAGATAATGTAACAATTCCTTCTGTTACCAATGGTATGCTGTGAGTTACTTTTTCCCCTCTTTCTTCTTGTTTCCATCAAAAGGGCACCATCCATGTACAAACAGCACCAACCATGTACAAACACGATGACTGGACCTCTCATGGAGAAGTCAACATTGGCAGAAGGACCTAAAAAAGAGATCCTCTGTCTCATCCAAGCCGTTAGGCTTAAAGTAAATAATCAGTAATTTGATAATAAAGTAAACAGTGAAATAACCAAAAATGTAACAATAAAGTAAATAACCAATTATAGAGGTTTGTTAAACATCTTCAACCTTTGCCAGAAAATCATGACTGTGGTCAAGGTCAACCTCATACCTTTCCAATTTTTTTTTGGAAATGAAGATGAATGAGAGACGTAAATCTGGGTCCCAAGTCAGATTCAGAGATGCCTCTGTCTCATTTTCGGACAGGCTATCCAGGAGCATCAGCTGAAAGTACAAGCAGGGAAAAGAAGAAAGAAGAAATGCAAGGATTTATGAGATTTAGCTGAATTGTGAGAGGTGGTACAAGGACCTTTCAGACATTAACACTTATACTAGCTTACATTAACCAGTTTCAGACATTTGGTCAAGCTTCAATCACTCCTGGCTTTTTGTGATAATTGTCAAGCTAATGCACTGTAACTGGATGTGGGGGCTTGGTTCATTCAGAAGACAAATCTTTACTATATTTAGCAAGATCAGGGACGTAGAAGGAAATTTAAAAAGGGAGGGAGGGAGGGGGGAGGAAGGAAGGAAGGAAGGAAGGAAGGAAGTTTCTGCCTATGATCTGGATAGAGAGATCGACTAATTTTCCATTAATTTTCTCAGTGTCTGTACCTCTCAAATGGAATTTACCCACATTCACTACAACACACACACACACACACACATACACACACATTCCATGCTGATATGGTAGAAGTACAGTACATGCCAAAATTACTCAGCAGTAATATGACTGTTTTCTCTGAATGGCAAACAGTTTGCTTTGTCCATCAGAAAGGTTCTCCCTCTCCTCGTCTTCAGCCTAAATTCTTATTTTTGTAACCAAGTCCTAGCCTCAAGCACAAGAGAAAACACATTTGCTCGACTTATTGTGATAGTTTCTCTAAGAGACAAAACTTTAAAAAATACAACACTGAAATACAATAAAAAAGAATAGTGAGGAGAAGGAGAAGGGGAAGGGGAAGGGGAAGGAGAAGGAGAAGGAGAAGGAGAAGGAGAAGGAGAAGGAGAAGGAGAAGGAGAAGGAGAAGGAGAAGGAGAAGGAGAAGGAGAAGGAGAAGGAGAAGGAGAAGGAGAAGGAGAAGGAGAAGGAGAAGGAGAAGGAGAAGGAGAAGGAGAAGGAGAAGGAGAAGGAGAAGGAGAAGGAGAAGGAGAAGGAGAAGGAGAAGGAGAAGGAGAAGGAGAAAGAGATCCATGTAAGAAGTCCCAGTGAGGAATATTCATATATTGCAAGCCCAACCTTTTAAAATATTATTCAAACCAGATGATGCAGAAACATTATGCTCCATCTTCTAATTTCTAT